TAAATGAATGGACAAACACCATAAACCAAATGGAGGGTTACTGCTTTACCTAAACATTCAGAACAAGTATGCAGTTGTTCAACATGATAGAATGTAATAAGAATAATAATAACAGAACAGATACAACATTAACAAAATATGTTGATAAGACTTCAATTGTATAAATAGAAAAACCCAAAAATGTAAATGAATGGTCAAACACCATAAACCAAATGGAGGGTTACTGCTACACCTAAACATTCAGAACTAGTATGCAGTTGTTCAACATGATAGAATGTTTAAAAATAAGTTAATATCTTTGTACAAGCAGTAACACTCCAAAAGGTTTGTTGTTTGACTATTAATTATATTTATATTTTACAAACAAATGTAGGAGAACAGACGACTCTATGAAAGTCAATAAAAAAAGGGCGAGATAGGTTGGTAGGACACCTTCTTAGGCATGAAAGTCTAGTCAGAGACATATTAGAGGCAGAAACAGGAGTTAGGAGGGGTAGAGGTAGACCTAGATTAGATTACTCTTCGCAAATAGTTAAGGATGTGGGNATGTTATGTTCTCTCACCTTAGTAAAAAGTAGTGTTCTAAAGTTCATCAGTGTATTGAGCAAACCAAATCTAGGAATGATACCACAGACAATTTGTTATTTAAGTGGCTTTCAAATTAATTTCCAATTGTCTCTCACTCTCAGGGCCAAAATTAACTGCACAATGTTGCAAGGTGAAGACGTCAAAAGCATCGGTTTTTTCTGCAGCATCAAAATTAACTGCAATTTTCCCTCTCATTTGTTCGTTAGACAATCTATAGAAACGGACAAGAAAACATAATTAATTACCACTTTAAAAATTGTCTATTGAAGCAAGTTAGAAATGTCTAAGAGATAGAGGTGTCTGGGATTTCATTTACTATTTCTAATTGATAGTTACTTACCAGTTCACTGTCATGAATCTTTTCTACAGCAACAGCACACTGTCTTTTTATTCCCAATGGAAAAAAGGCACTTCCATGCTTTCTTTAGGACCATAAGTATACTTCTACTCAATTGAACAAATGAGGAGTGATACAACAGATGCTCCTTAATTTAATGGCATCTGGTGTTTTCTAATGTTCCTGTAAAATGAAATCAATGAAAAAGTATTCAGATACAGTTAGTTTAGCTTCCCTAGTTAAAGTAATGTTCAACCGTTTTTTCTGTTAATATCAAATAAACACACTACATACACTACATATAATACAATAATTTTAAGATATGAAGATACTTACCTATATGGTAGCACTTTTATAAGAAACTTTTTTTGATATCTTCAACTATAAAGCAGTTATTGAAGAAACCCGCTTGCTTGCGAAACCCTGTATAATATAGTATGTATGTATGCTCATCTTAATTAACTACAAGTCTCCCAGATGATAACTTAACTGATAAAACACCATAGGAGACGACTTGCTTTTTCACTTGTATTAAAATAAACTTCAATCTTCTCACTCATTTATCTTAGATAGAATCTGTAGAAATAGAGAAATAATAAATTAACTATTGTATAAAGTAAATACATAATGAAATAGAATAAAATATTTACAAAAAGGAAGTAAAATTGTAAAATTCTTACCTTTAAAATGGCGATGAGGCGTGTCTTCTTTCATAGATGCATAAAATTCATAGAAACATCTACTATATTCATAGACATATATTAATGGACGTGCCTTAGCCGTATGTCATTGTATTAATTTCTTGGCTCGAAAAGTGAGAGAGATGGCGTATGGTTTCGGCTAATGCTGTCTCTTTCATGACACGCATACGCACTATCGTGAGAGATGGATATTGTCCGAAACTTCGTTCCATGTCTTTCTTTCGTTGTACCACAATTCTAACCGCTAAGGCACGTCCATTAGTAGACGTCGATGATTATCTTAAACAGTTTCGCTGTAAAAATAAATATACTACATACATCATACTACATATGTTTACCTAAGCGACCTAATCATAACATAAATTCAATCATAGATGATCATAAATAAGAATTAAATAAAATTCATCACAGATACTGGATTATATGATGATCATATAAGATTTGAAAATCTTTGTTTTATCTATGGTTATAGATAAAAAAGAGTTCATTATTATATTATTTTGCTAATTTATTTATCCGCTGTTATACTACCCTCAAAGCAAAGGTGTATGATTTGTGATCTGTGTATATGTGATAGAAATTGACAAAATAGCCTAAATTGCCGAACAATAATGTAATCGGTAATGCAAGTTGAAATGTATGGTACGTAAAAATATAATAAATTTGTAGTTATAAATAAGGAATTATATTGTTAAAAATGCTTTTCTCCAAAAAATGAGGAATGAACTACTCTATGTATTAGTGGCTTCCGTGTTTTACAAATAATAAACAACAATGTCAAAATAGTTATAGTAGGTAAATGTTAACGTGTGCTAATTACTGCATACTGGGTACTTAATTAATTCACTTTTATGCCTTTCGTAGTAAAAATTGCCTCAATCATAATTAGAAATGTCTAGAAAAGGAATTGTAGACGTTTTTCAAACCAAAACAACCAGAAATGATCGATATGCCCAGATGTCTCATCAGGAAAAACTTATTGAACAAAAGAAGAGGGAAATTCAAGCTAAAGTGGAACAGAAGAGAAAAAGTGGAAATTCCGAGAAAAGTGAAAAAAATAAGGAGTTAGTATCTTGATATCACTAAATTTGCTAAAAAAGTTCACATAAATTGTAAATGTTTTCAGTACTAAGTCATACACTAAGAGTTACAATCAATTTTCTAATGATGGATCGTTTATGGACCAATTTAAACAAATGAAGGACAAGAAGATTGATCAGAAACTAAAATCATTTAAATTTAGCCAAGAAAAATCTCACAGGTGTGTTATACCTAATATAGTCACCATTTGTGCTTAAAAAATGATTTTGAACTTGAATTTTTTGCAATTGTATTTTTAATTTGAACATTTAATTTTTTTATTTATTTCAGTGAAGATCGTAACAGAAACAACAGATGGTCACATCGCAGACGTTCTCCTTCTCCTATCTCATCCAGACATAAATTTTCTGACAAGTTTCAAAACAATGAACCTAAAATTAGTATATCAACGTCTTATACTAATTTCATATCACAAGCCAATTTTAATGTTCAAACTTCTCAGAGTATTATTACCCCAGAGAATGCTGTTGGCCAGCCTCTCCTAAAAAATGACCAGTCTTCTTCAAATGTTACATTTCCTCCCCCTACACAAACTTCCACAACGGTCATTTCTGCCCTGCCTCTTATGTTAAATGCTCCTCCACCTCCAATAATCCAACAAAATGCCGTATTGATGCAACAACCTGCTTTACCATCTACAGCTGTCATTACTTCTGAAATTCGAACTCCCACGATAATAACATCTTTAAGTTTGCCCCCTCCTACTTCAGCAATTGGACCCCAAAATGCTCCTGATTTGACTGGAGCAACATTACCAGTTTTGGGACCTGAAAACGCTTTAAATATTCCCACTCTTCGATCCATGACTTCTGTTGAATTGGCATCTATACCATCANAAATAAATCAGATATTTTTATCCACTATTAGATATTAGGTTTTATAACTTAAACTTCATTTCTTATAATTGGAATGAAATTTGAAGACGGATTTTTTAAAAATTCAATGCTTTTTGCTGAAATAATTTGCCAAATTAAGATGTCTACGACAAAAATAACTGTTACAAATTTCTCAATCTTTGGACAGAAAATAAAAAATTCATTGCTTTGTTTTTATGATTGACACTTTACGCAAACTAAAAAAATAGAAACATTGTTTTTCTTCTTAATCATTCTCTATTTTTGATTAAGAAGTATCTATCTCCTTGAATATTATTACTTTATTATAGTTTTATGCTTTCATCACAATTTTCCCAATAAAGCTAACGTTTTTTTGTCCGCATTTTTAACTGTAAGCATCTTTCTCTATCAGAAGTCGCATAAAAAATTGTAATGTACAGGACAGAAGGTAAAAATACCGATACTAGAGAAATATACAAAACAAAGTAAAAAAAATCATTTACATTTACATTTACAGTGTTAAGTGTCATAAAATCATAATTATTTTCATATACGCTTATGTACTAAATAAAATAAAATTATTTTATTAATATCCAAAAATGTAGTTGGTTAAAAGTTTCGACTCGCACTGTAACATTGCTATCATAGTAATTTGTTTTCAAATACACGAAACGTTTAAAACGTTGGCGACAGCTCGTCCTTGACTTAGGCAACCCAATTCACTGCAAAGTATTCTGAGCGTTAGGCTGCAGTAGCAGTTCTGAATTCCTTTATTTATTAAGAGAACGTACCCATAGTACGCAACCCATTTTCTTTATAATTTTTTACCCCCTCGGTTACCATTCGTATTATATGCCAAGACCCCCCTCCCCTATTAGTTTCCACGTAGTAACTCATCAATACGGTTTTAAACCATTTCTTGCAAACAGAAAGTTTTGAATATAGCGCGAAATTTCCTTAAAAGATATTGACTACGTAACGAAAATCTAAGCCCACCGCCTCTGTGACCAAAAAACTACTCGGTAATACTAGTAAGGTATAAATTTTTCTAAACATTTTAGAATTTTCTGACTTCCGCGACCTGAATTATCTTTTTTTAGCATCCTGAACATACGCCAGTCGTTAAAATTTTTTTTTGAATTGGAGCCACTCGAGTACAAATAACTAAACTTTTTATAATTGCAACAAAAATAAATGTTTATGTTTGATGTACAGATTATTCAGTTATAACTGCAATGTAACGGAATTTCGTTCTGTACGATTGCAATAATTGGTGGATTAAAGTAGCCCGAAAAGTGATATGTATATTATTGAATCAAAGTTTAGCAAGAAAACTGAAGGTAAGGTTCGATTTTTAAATTATTAAGAACTAAAATCTCACCCAAAGTATTCCATAGTTTCATATTAGTACAGGAGGCACAATACGTTTCGAAAAACCTCTTCACAACAGTAATGGTGTTGCATCATGGCTTAGACATGTTCCTTAGTATTCTAAAGCCTGTAAAAAAAAAACAACAAATATTTTAATTAATTTTATAGCGTTTAAATAATCTTTCCATATACATATTTAATTCATTTATTTATTACAATACATAATTTATTTCCAACTTTAAAGAACCGTTTACGAAACAGTTATCCGGATGTTTGAAACAAATAACATCAATTACGTATTTGTTTTAAATATTTTTAGCCAACTTACCTATCCACTGCAAGAACATTTAAGGTTTTCGATTAGTAAGGAATTACTCTGTTTTTGTAGGTTGAACTACTAAAGGAAAATTTCGTTTGGAGAAAGCCGGAAAAATATATACTCTGAAGTGTATCTGTAAAAAGAAAAGAATAAATGAAAGCCAAAAATAATCGTTTTGTAGAACAAAAAAGATTAATAAAAACGGTAATTTTGTTACCAAAATATGTACCTGATACAACTGAATTATTTTACAAAATCAATTTGTTTGTACCTAACTGATACTTATTATTTTTCACTAAATCAAGCGATATTCATAAACAAGTTTCTATGCTTTTCCTAGATTAATTNTAATAATATAAATAATTTATTTCTATACCTGAAGCATTTAAATGTGCTTTATATTTTTCAAACTTTTATACGTCTGGATAAATCACCCACCGACAATAATTCATTAAAAAATAACTAAAAGCAATATTATTTAAAAAAAAATTGCGGTATTGGAAACAATTTTATTACTAATTCTAAACAATGGTAGTACTAAATCGCTGTGAATACAAACACTTCTGCAAGGGAAAACTGGAAAAAGACAAGGGAAATTATGTAGAAGAAAAATATCTCATATGCAACCATACACGCACTAGTGTAAATTCGATTGCATACTGCTAATTGCTCAAAATTGTAACATTTAAAACCAGTTTTCGCGCCTATAAAAATGCAAAAATACAATTGATGTTTTTTAAATCGATAATAGAACGAACCAGGAAAATCTTGAAAAAATATTAATATTATCTCAAAAGGTAGTGTCCATAATAAATCCCCTAAAATAATTATATATATCAAATTGACATAAAAGCTTTTATTCCATTGTCTGAAACAACAATCACCAAAATCATTAAAATGATCATTTTATAATTATTTCGAACTACCAGACAAAATGACAAAATGTTACAAGCAACATCAGAACACTTTAAACATTTTTAGTAGAACAAGAAAAAAGCCAAATTTAAAATTTAATAGCACAGAAATATACTTTTGATATTGCCCCCTAATGTGCACATAAATATAAAAAGTAACAAATTACCTCAAATAAGCATTTACCAATTTGCCGTTTTAAACTTTTGAAATTGTCGATCCGGAGCTTTCCGGAATGGGCCGAATGTTTCCGATGATTCCTGGTGTTGTCTATGTTTAGTTTATTTCAACAGTTTATTTATGGTATTTCGAGAATCATAGATAATACCCATAGTTGATTAATACCAATGAACTTTAATTTAACCACGTTGAACTATTATCTACAATAAATAATATAAGAATAAATTTCGCTTACCATAATAGCTTTGCCTTTAAATGCAAATGAGGCGCAATCGATTGGCGTCAAGGAAATTATAATAGCTTCAAAAGGTTTTGAATAAATGGACACTGAATTTCTCTTAGCGCCTGAAGAAATTTTCTTTTTTAAAGAAAACTAATGATTGCAGAATTATGCTACCTACATATTTAGAACCTGCACAATTCAAGTAAAGTTTAAATCAGCGAATTATTTATATCGGGTTCGTTATAAGTGGGTGGATCAGTGAGTCTGAAAAACATCTTCACTAAAAAGGATAGCAAATGTACAGCCCCCTATGCGATAAGTGACTGTACATAAATTTCGGTTTTATCAGTTATCAAACTAAAACAAACAAAACAAATTGCATATTCCCAGACTAGTCAGAGGACCAACGTTAGTGTTAATTATCATAGATATGTTTATTATTCCGCTTGTATTTTATTGGGGCCAACTTCACTCTTGTTTGGAACAGCTGATTGTTATAAATATGTCAACCTAAAATATGGCTGCTGCAAGTAGTGAAGGTTCACCAACAACTCCTGTTTTTAATAATGTCTCAAATGATAGAAATTTTTCTCGATCTTCATCATTATCCTCTGTTTTTGACGATTTTCAATGGACACCTCTACTTACTTCACGTTCGAAAAAGAAAAATAAGGCATTCAAAGGTACGCTTGTAATAATAAGTTTCACCAAATGTTAGTTTAAGTAGGTATTAAATACTGGAATTTATTAAAAAGCCCTTAAATATTTTGAAGACGCAGTGCTGGTAAAGATATTGCTATTTTATCACATATTGATTTTTTATTTCAGTAGTAATGTTTTCGAATGTTAATTGTGTAAGGAGGAATCAAATTTTAAGAATCAGTCTCTTTTTAGAAATATATATTTGTAGTTAAATTTTATTTGGTTAGTGATACAATTCTAAAGTGAAATTCATCAATTCAGTAAACTATCATATTACCAATAGCTGTTCTTGTCAATTTTTGTACCATTCAGCTAAGTGAGGTACCAATTTTTTTCTTTAAGATTATAGGTTCCGATAATTTATGAAAATCATATTTTAGAATCTGATTGTGAGTGGTACCTTCACTCGTATAATATGAAATATATAAACCTATATATATATATAATGGGAAAGTAAAAAAAATTGCGAAGATTCAAAAAATGCCTCCCCAAAAATAATTGTATCTAACTACGGTTATAAATAATTTCAACTTGTNAAATTTTGTGCAACGTTTTTAAAACGAGAAAATTAATTGTAGTATTCAAAACTGAAATAATTAAAGTTATGTGTTTTAGTATTTCCTCTTTTAATTTTTGTTGCCACAATTTTTAATTTCGGTTCGTTCTTGATGTAATATATATCACATATTTATTTAGCTTAATAGTTTATGCTTATTATGCCTACAACATTTAATACGTAATGTAATAATTAAAATCTTACATAATAAAGTTACTTATTTAATGTTATGTTTACAAAAACTAAAATATTCAGACAGGCATTTGTATAAAATAAAAGGTGGCAGCACATTGGGGTGTGTTATATTGATTTTCTTATGCTCTCTTGGGTATATATTTTAATGTCACTGAATCAATAACAGAATTTTTGCTGTAACGACCTTTTGACCAGACAGTGCCGGTTGCTTTTAGTCGCTGTTTTTAAAAAGTAATATTTGATAGAAGTGATGTGATTTAAATCCAGTTGTATTTGCTCTTGAGAGCAATAAATATGGTAGAGGTGACTAACAATGCGATGGAACAAGACATGGCTGGGGCCCAAGACACTATTTATCTTTGTAATTTTCGCGTCTCAGTTGACGGCGAATGGCTCTGTTTAAAAGAACTGCAAGATGTTGAATTTAACATGCAAAACTATTCTCCACCATCACCTGACGTTCCAATACACTCTTTTGGTATCTATTCATTTGTTTGAAACTATTTTCTGTGTTTAAAGAGTTCACAACGTATTGCCCTGAATTGCTACGATTTTCTGAATAATAATGTTTTTTTAGTTTGATTTTTATATGTATAATATCCATAATCACTTTAAAACTGTTTTCAGTCTCTATTTCTTCTACAACTTTCATTAAAAATTGGAAACTTTTTTTTGCCTTTACCTACTTTATATTCATAGGATATTTTTGTATACACTCATATATCTGTAATTACTGTAATTTATTGGACTGAATTATTGCAATTATGCAAAACCTACATATGCAATCGCTAGTTGCAAAATAAAACTGTAACTTTTGATAACCAGATTTATAAACTCTGGTTCAAGAAACGACTAGTAAATTTATAGTAATATAGTTTCAAGTTTGTTTTTGAATTTTTTTTTAATTTTTTTATACAATTATTAACCAAATAAACTTAGCGATCTTTTTTTGCGTCGTAATCAAAAGTTGTCGAAAAAGCAAATAACAGAATTTAATTGAATAGATGTGGTAGTAATTTATTTGTTAAAATTGGTTTGAAATTAAAAAATCAGACGTTTAAATAGAATAATCATTCTGGTTCTTTGAAGTAGATAAAGTAGTGACTCTGATTTGCCATTCTGTTTTCTATTTTAGGTAGAGATCCTGTGGCTATAGAAAGAAGCAATCTCCTGAATATCAGTAAATTGGTAGTGAAGGAACTGATAGAACAGTCTCTTAGATATGGAAGGATGCTTGATTCTGACCATATGCCCTTGCAACACTTTTTTATCGTTTTAGAACATGTTTTAAGGCATGGACTACGGTTAAAAAAGGTATAGATATTGTATGAAATGATTTTGTCATTATATTATCTTACAGTCTAGGGGTTTTAGGGTCTGTTGGGTCCTAGAAAGGAACTTTGGGACATTTTACAACTGGTAGAGAAATATGCTCCTGAAGCACAAGACATTACTTCTAGTGTTCGCGATTTACCAACAGTACGGTAAGTTTACTTTTATTTGTCAAATTTTTATTTTTATGGCCGGTCGTCCCGCACTCTTTTTTAACAAGCGTAGTCTTTTAAGTTTTTCAATTGACGTATTTGTTTCCGTTTGTATTGCGTATATTAAACGAATATCTTTTATTGAGCAATTTTCTAATTTACTCCTTTCCTGTCAATTAATTTATTTCAAAATAGAACACACATGGGTCGCGCCCGCGCCTGGCTCAGACTCGCTCTTATGCAGAAGAAACTTGCTGATTATCTGAAGGTGTTGATCGATCATAAGGACGAAACGCTGGTCGAATTCTACGAACCTGACGCGTTGATGTTAAGTGACGAAGTAATCATCATTATTGGATTATTGGTTGGACTGAACGTTATTGATTGCAATTTATGTGTAAAAGTGAGTAATTAGTTTTCTATTTCTTTAAATATTTAGTACGGCAAAAGTTGATTAAAAAAGTTTTTTAGTTAGACTTAAGTAAAAAATGAGGTTGTTCAACTCAAACTGTGTTTTGAGCTTAAAACAATAAACCGCAACTAATGAAGCTACATAAAAATAAATTATTTGCATTAAAAAATATAAAAATATATTAACTGTATCAAAGCAATAAATCGGCCTCTTATCAATCTTTGAGGTCTAAGTTCGCGTTAGGATTTAAAAAGAGAAAGAACATTAGTCTTTCTATTTTTCAAAAATAAACATTTCATCCTATTTTCGTTTTGTTATTTTTAGGTTCCAACATTATTAGTGTTTTATATTTAGTGTGAATAAAATTAATTTCATGCATTTGAAACAAATAAGATGGTTTAATTCTGTTATAAAACGGCTAGTAAATTTTGTGCAACGTTTTATATCAATGTAAAGTAAAAAAATTGATGCACTTTAGCATTTTAATGCCTATTCTTGTTTTTTTTTACGTCACTTATAATAACTCAGAAGTTTTAATTTCCTTATTAGTCTCTTATACATACGTATACATTGCGATTGTATATCTATGACAATGGTAAAAAGCAACACCTTTTAAAACGCGATATTTTGCTTGCTGACCAAGCTAAATGTGTAGACATGAAATAATGTACTTATCGCCTGAACCGTTAGTATATTTTCACATACATAAGTGTGCTATTAAACTCAGTCACGTACTGATAAAACTACCATATTACCTATGTTTTAAAAATCTAGAAAGTGACGTTCTATTTATTATAATTGAATTAGGAAGAAGATTTAGATTGTCCGCAAGGGGTTATTGATTTTTCGTTGTACTTAAGATCTTCAAATCAGGTAACAGAAGAAGAAAATAATGAGGAACAGGGTGACGATAATATGATAACTGTTCTGGACCAAAAAAGTTATATGGAAGAACTTAACAGGCATTTAAAGTAAGGAGGTGGCACTTTTTTTATTTAATTATTATTTTTCATTTTTGTTGTTTTTATTTAAATACATAAATAAATCAGTAAAACCTAAAATTCCATACAAAAAACCAAAAGGCGTTTCGATACCTACAGTTCGGTCATAGTCAGAAGCTAGATTAATCTAACGATAAATTCTAAATCTTATTATACAGTTAAAACCCCTTTTTAATCGTAACACATTTAGAAGATACGAATTTCACACATTTGATTATTTTTGTATTTACATATATATACGGATTAGGTGCATCGTTTTAACACTTACGAATACAGGTGTACGAATTTTATTTTAATTTAGTTTATCGGTTATGTGAGAACTATCAATGTTTATTTATTTGCGCAAATAAATATCCTATCTATTTCGAAAATATATTTTAAATGTGAATGAATCACGCAAATTTTGTTGGTAGAATTGATTACATACTAAGTTAAATATTAAATATAGATAACAAAATCGTACACAAACAACATTAAAGCGCTGTTTAGTTAAGCCATTGCAAGAGAACGCCACAGGTTTTCAACGTGTTTTAATGATAACAATTTAAGCCAAATTAAGTTTATTTCAAAAAATGCTGTTTTAACTAGTGCAACTGTGACAAATCTTCAGTCAAAAGTGGAATCTTTGACCACAGAAAACGCTCTTATAAAAGAAGATCTTTCAATTACAAAGAATAGTTTGTACAATATTTACGAAGAAAACCGATTACTGAGGAAGGAACTTGGAAAAGAAGATCCTGGTGATAAAAAACAGAATAGTATGAAATCGAAACGGGATTCCAGCAGTAGTTCTGATAACAACGAGGCAGGAGCAAGAAACGACACTGTCGTAATCGAAGATTTAAAGAAACAACTTGAAGAGGAACACAATGCCAGGCAAGAAGCAGAAAAAGAACTGGATTTACAGGTATGATTATTAAGCAATCTTTTTAACAAATTTAAAATAATTAAATATTAATGACTGGTCAATAATATGTATTACATCAGATTTTTAAATACCCAGTTTTAAATTATTTATCAATAAAATTGCAATCATATAGATATATTAGCTGTTTGTACCTGTACAATAAATGTTTCCTTTTCTAGATGTGTCTTAAGGCTGAAATGGAAGTGGCAATGAAGCTTTTGGAAAAGGATATTCATGAAAAACAAGACACAATTATTTCTCTACGAAGACAACTTGAAGAGATCAAACTCATTAATTTAGAGATGTACAAAAAACTGCAAGTAAGTAAATTTTTCTAGTCCATCTATGGATACGTTTAGATTTGGGTTTTAGGTTTTTTTTTTAATATCATTATTTAAATATACGTGTTGATTTATTTTTAACAAAGTGGAACAGTGTGGAAAAATGTGGTTTATTAAAGATATATTGTTTTTTAAATTTGAATATTCATAATAAATAAATAAAAGGATTACCTATCATCTCGTCTGAGATATAAAGTTAGCAATTACTTTGAGTAAAATGCATTTCAAATAATGGTCTCATAAAAAGAATCAAGTTAAAATATTAAAAAAATACATGTTAAAGAAGTCAGATTCCTGTTGTAAAAAAAGCATTTTTTTTTCAATTTATCGAATTAAGTTTGATAATCCACACTGTAACCTTTACTGTGAATCGCATTGTATATTACGTTTATAGTGTTAGAATTTTGTGAAACGACTATGTATGTTTGTAATTCTTGTGTAAGAGTATTTTTAACTTTAATGCGTCATGTTTCTTTTAAATTAAAAATGTTGCATGTATTTCGTAAAAGTTATCTTTTCGTTTTCCTTATTTATTAATTAATTAATATTAATTGTATCTTTGAGACGAAAAAAAAAAAATTATGTAATTGAATATTTTGATCATACCATTTGCACCATTGTCAGTCATCATGTTCACAAAGCGATTGGGGGTCATTTTTCGTGGGTTTGACGGTGGTTGGTGGTAATTTGCAGGAATGCGAAGTGGAACTGACTCAAAAGGGCGAGATGGTCAGTCGCCTTCAGGCCAAAGCCGGTCAAATCGGCAAAATCCTGAACAATCTTGAAAAGTACAATCATTTAATAAAAGAAGCCGAACACGACAAGAAGCACTGCGATCGAAAAGTTCTTGATCGCAAACGAATGTCTTTGCCCAAGAGCCTTTCGAAAGACAGTTGCTTGAAAATTGTACATCAACAGAAAAGCTCATTGCCGAACGAACTTAACGAGAATGAACCTAACACTAGCAGCGTTAATACGGGTAACAATGAAAACGCGACAAATTTAAATCAAATAAAAGAAATGGAAAGTAGTGTTAACGAAAACGTTGATGATACTGGGAAAATAGTCACGTCTGATAGCAAAGACGACGTTAGCGATTTTGAAATCGTCAATGCTGGTAACAGCTCTTCTGTAACGCCGGAAGTTGAGGAAAAAAATATTCGCGATAAAAAAATTTAAATGTCTATACTACTAAAAAAATATTCTGGTCTTGTATCGCTTGTTCAAAAATAATAAATTTCAGTGTTATTCTTCGGAAATTTATCATTAAAAAAGTACGATATTGAGCTTACAATGGATTTCAACTAAGGTTTCCAAATCCCGGGACCGAAAGATATTTGGGACGGGTATCAAATTTTATGTCCCAGCATTTGTCCTGAAAATCTCGAAAATGGTCCCGAAATCGATATACATATAATCAAAGTACGTGGGTGGCACTCATTGCTCAAAAAATATGAGATATTGAACATTATTTGATACTAAAATAAGACTTTCGGTAAACCCTCTAATTCCTTTAGACAATTTACCAGTTTTGTTGCGTTGACAGATTACTCGCTTAGTGGGGATGTATTCATGACGTGATCATAAATTCGGGATATTTAAGATTTTGGGACTATTTCTAAAATCCTGGGACCATATTTTTTGGACAAAATCTTGGGACTGGAAACCCTAATTTCAACAGTTTTATGTAGTTCCTGCTTACTTTGATAACATGCTTTAAACTCATTGTATCATTAGTGCTAATATTTAACACCACTTCCCTTGTGACATGAGACCTCCTTTTATTTAATCTGTCTAACAGTTCGTATTCAGTATTGCTAATTTTTTTATTTTTGTGTTTTATTTATTAATAATAACAAACAAATGTTTTCAAAGTGTAACTTTCATAAATAACTACAAACTGTTTCTTTTATGTAATTGGAAATAGATTCAAATTAATTACATGTTGTTTGCGATGATTATGGTGCTGTTCACTATTTATTATAACGTAATTATGATATTGTTTAAAGAAGTATGAACTTCTGTGCTGGTTTATATTTTAATATTTAATTTGTTGGCTCTACGGTTTCTTAAATGTCTTGTTTATTGCGTTTTTTCGCGAATGAAAAGAATCTTTTATTTTATATCATCTAATTATTAAATTGAAACTAATTATTGTAATTTGTTAATGGGATCTAAAAAGTGATAAAACATTCCGGTATTAATTTAATTGTGGTGTTTTTTTATCCGTATGAAACACTGTTATATGCAGTAAACTTTTATAACATTATGGTATGCTAACTAATCGTAAAGTGGAAAAGATTTGAATAAAAGCATTATGGAGCCAATAAATTGATTAAATATTAAAATGCATTGAATTTATTGTATGCAATGTAACAGAAAATGTCATATATAAGTGTAGGCTTCTTTCAGGAATGTGAGGGCTCACTTAAGCATAAAACGGAATTTGTGTCGAAACTTGAAGCTAAAATACAATCTATGACCGAATCAATGCAAATTCTTGAGACAAAGTAGGTAAATTTTATGGTTTTTTGATATTTGGGAATGAGGGTGATGGAGCTTTATTTAGGTGGTGGTCACGATAGAATTAAAATTACAAAATATTTCAACAAGAACATCATTTTTACGATAGAAAAATATCGTGACCGCTTACTATCTAATGAATACGCCGTTTTCTGTGAGTCTAGATAAGAATATTAAAAATAAAAAAAAACAACGAGCAAAATTTTTGCAAAAATATTAAAGTGCAGTATTGATTGAAACGATTTCATATTTTCAGTATTAATTTTTTGATGAAAACTGTGTAATATAATTTATAATAACTAATAAATTTATAGATAATTCGTAAAGTATTAGAACATGTGCACGGATTTGTGTCGTGAACAGATCGAACGGTTGACAGCTATGTCTTCTTTCTCTTCTCCCTCCCTAACTTCCGGTTTTGTGTCTGTTGCATTCACGAAATTCATACGAATTTACCGAGCGACAAGATGTTACACAGTAAAAAGAAACTACTATTATTCTTTTTATCTACTCAACTTATTAAATTTGGTCTATCCGTTTCATTTTTGTTTTATCAAATGTAAAAATTCTTTGGATGGGAAAACTACTTTTGTAGATTCAGTGGTTAATTTTGTATAATACGTACAATAAATCTAAACTCTCAGAAATATACTAACTGCTTGAGTGTTTTGTAGCTTTTTTGCCTTATGTAAAGATATAGGAAATTAATTCCTTTAGCAGTATTGCTTATTTTCATTAAGGAAAAAGTTACAAAGTGCTATAATCGGATAATGAGTAACTTAACATGTTTAAAACAAAAAAGAAAGAATGCTTAGAAAGCATGGAAGTATTGGCAAACCTTCACTACTGCAGCAGCTTTTAAAAAATTAATAACTGTAGTTTTAAGACATACTAACGTATTTACATATATAATCGACACGTTATTGTAATCCAGCTAAAATGTATAGCAAAGTATTAACACTGATTGATGAATAATTTTCAAATAGACTTTTCTCAATGATTTTAAAAGAGGGGGCACGAGAAAAATCTGTTTGATTTCTAATCTTTATTAACAATTTCCTAATATGTATGGAACGTCGACTTGTTTGTAACTATTTAATTTGTAGAGTTTCTAAGCTTCAAGTGCTTCAAATCAATAAATTATTTTTGAAATTCTACGTGTTTCATTATAAAACTTGCCTCTTGTTTTGTACTTATAATTTTTTTGATTTAGTAGTGGGTTTGCCTTACTTTCAATGTTTTTTATTATTTGTTTCCCCTATTGCATGCCCATTTATTTATGTCCTTGTACTTTTATTTTTCATTTCAAAATGTTCCAATTACCTCCAAATGAGGAAAACAAAAACAGAATCAACTTTTTCTAATTTAAAAACTTTTTTTAAACATTGAGTGCAATGAACATTTTGAAATGTAGTTTGCACAGAATTGTCACTCCTTTCTACCTTTAGCAAATTTTCGTATTTCCCAAAAATTACCACATTTCAGATTCCTAACTATTTGTGAACAGTAATCTAGTCTAGGTCTTCATTTGACCATTTCTTCTGCTAATATGTTTTTAACTAACCGTTTATGCCTTATCTCTCCTATTCCTTATTGGCTTATGTACATAATTTGTTTTATTTTTAATAAAATGATAAAACCATAACAGGTATAGAGATAGTGAGTCAGCTAGGCTTAATATGGAACGGAAAAGAAGAGAATTGGATGTTCAAGCTGCTCATCAAGAAGAATTAACTAGTACATATGAAGGTGATTTAAAAGTTGAAAGAGATTGGCGCATCTCCCTACAGGAAACGTTACAACAGGAAAGAGAACGCACGTCGAAGTTGCAACAGGAATTAACACACCTTAGAACAATAGCGCAGGTACAAAATACTAAAAAGTAACATTCTTTTAGATTACATTTGGAATAAAATTGTTTTAGAAATATGCATCTATTCAAGAAGAGTATTATAATTTGAAAGAGCACTGCTTAGAACAAGAGCAAACATTGGAGGAGCTTGGGAGTCAGTTGAGTGCCAGTAAATTGCAATTATCAGATCTGAAGGAGGAAGTTGGCAAAACGAAAATGGAAGGGACTTGGGTCAAAGATAAGGACATTACACACTGCAGGTCTTGCAACAAGGAATTCAATGTTACAAGAAGAAAGGTACATTCTTAAAGTTCTTTTGGAAAGACTAACTAAGATTTTCTTTTCTTTTGTTATTGTTTCCCTGAAATCTAGTATTTGTCTATGGGATATTTAAAGTCTTCTTAATTGATAAGAAATAACAGCGATTCTTTATTTATCTTACCATTAAGTTGATAAAGCATTTACTGTACAATACTTCTATTTGCTGGATCTTGATTTTTCCCATTTGTTATTTTTTCCTTCTGTAGTAACTTCTTGTAGTCCCCCACAGTTATTTTTTTTGGGATTATTTCTCTTAGAAATTCATATTTCTCACAATCATGAACAACGTCTGAGACATGTGTATAGGTTATTGTGTGTGCTGGCCGTGAACTTCTAAACACCTCGTTTGATAAACCTTTCAGAAAACCTTCCTAAGAACCATTCAAAGTAAAAATTAAGTAAAAACAGTAATTCATGTTTAGACTTACAGTTGCTTTAGCAAGCGACAATACTGCTTCTTTATGAACGCTTTCTACGTCCGCAGAACTTCTCATTATTGTTTTAACTCGACTCATTGGCAAGTGGGTCATTTTGCCTATACTAAATTAAAATTTTGCAATAAATTTATTTAAAATGAGTAAACAAAGCTACATTACAGTTATGGTTAGGTTTATTGTTTTTATTAGTATCGCCACTTCACAAACCTAAAAATCCCTAGAAACTCGTTACGGTGATATACCGGGTTTATTAAAAACAATTATAAATAAATTCCTTTTGCCTAAAACAAAATAGTGGGAAATACAACAAGTTGGTTCTCTTATTAATTGTATTTTTACAGCATCATTGTCGTAATTGTGGGGAAATATTTTGCAAAGCTTGCTCAGATAATTCCATGTCACTTCCATCATCGGCAAAGCCTGTACGGGTGTGTGATACTTGTTTCGTCCTATTAGTAGGAAGACAGCCTGTGATGTAAATTTTCGTAATCAGTATATGTATTAAATATTTTTATTGTACATAAAGTGCATGCTGTAATTTTAAAAACTTCTTATGTAATCGGTGTGTAAGCTTTAACTTGTTTTAAGTGATATAATTATTTTAATACAGATCAGTTGTTAATTTTTTAATTTCTTTCTTTTAAGCCCTTTTATTAAACCATAAAATTATGCATAATAATGGTTCGTTTCAAAATTAAATTTTCTTTTTCTACTTACGTTAGTAGTAAACATTTTTGAGCCCATACGGTATATAGAATAATAGAATTAAGACCACTGCTGCCAACATTGAGATATCATGAAGATATCTTTATTATAGTAATCTATGATTATAGTTTATATTTACAAACGTTATTTTTGTTGTCGGAATTCATTGGAGGTTAGAAGGTGGAAAAAAGTGTTATTTTTTGTTTAAATTAGTTATTAGTTAAATATTTTATATAAAAGCCTAATTAACTGTTTTTACATAAATAAAATGGAGAAGTTTATAATTTTTTCAACAGTTTTGTGTTTTTTGTTTAAACTAGGTAAGCAATAAATTTGGGTGTGGTTTATTTAGTCATCAATTAAATTATTTTAGGAAATTCATTATGGTGTTATGAATGTGTTAGCACTCAACCAGGGTGCGGGACACCTTTTAATTGGTGGATGATGTGGACTAATGTTTGTCCAGAAGATGATGATGTTTGTGTGAAAATTATCGAAAGAAAAGGAGGTGATTTATTAAGCACTGCTCTTTTAACTACCATTTTACTAACTGCGATCCATTTTTCAGCTCAAGAAGTTATAACAAGATCTTGCTTGAGTACTCAACAAGCTCAGCGTAGTGATATTCCAGCAGATAAGTACGAAGGTTGCAGAAAGGCAGCTGTGGATTTGAAACTTTCAAATTATGTTAATAACTCTGTGAAGGAGCTTGATATTTACAGGTACAGGTTTTTATTACTATACCTAGACTTATAATCATAATTGTTTCAAATTTAAGTAAAGTATTCATTCAGTATTATCATCTTATGTACCTTTTCATATTAATAATCAAATACACTTTTGCTAAGCATAATTGTCTGGTGTTTCAGAAATTATTATGATGAGACAATTTGGTGTTTCTGTTTTTTGGATCACCGGTGCAATAATTCCTTTGTACATCTTCCGTCAGTCTTTGTTCTTATATTAAGCACAACATTTGTTTTACTGCAAAGATGATACTTTTTTATAATTTGACTTGGATAATTATTTAGAATCTCAAATGAGTATTTACATGTATTGATATTAATGTAATGCCGTCCATATTTTTTAGGTAAGTTTTATTTTTTTTATGTTTCTAATCTAATACTTTTTTGTAATTTAATTTTAATGATTACTAAGATTCTTAAATAAGCATTTTTCATGTATCAATTTTAATGTAATACCGTCCACATTTTTAGGTAAGTTTTATCTTTTTATGTTTTTAATCTAATACATATCCAAAGATAAACATTCCTATTCGAGCAAATTAAAGTACCTGTTATAAACTCGTTTTTAATATGAAAATATGTATATTCAGACACAGTAATTAATTGAATAAATGATCATTTATTTGTTTTTTTCTCATAGTCTAACTCTTAATTGTTTGTGTTATAGATTTAGAAAGAAAAGTAATGCAACAGTATAGGTGTTGCATTCAACTTGAAGTTGTTTCCCTAGGAAATAAAAGTATAATGTATTTTAAAATAATACTGTAGGCGATTTGGTTAACTTCCACTTGATTATTAATGATTATGCATTATAAATCGAATTAATTAAGTAAAACATAATCTATATATAAATAATTTTANAACTTACTATTGCAGTTATACATACAAACGCAAAAAAGGGTTTTCTCAATGTGTTTGATAAATAATGGTTTTTATTGAGTATTGACAATTAGTTTGTTATTAGATGCACTTTGGACATTTATAACTGTAGTAGAGGAAAGTACTGTGGATTTGGCTTATCAGTTGTCTCACATGCGAGATCTGGGTTCACCGGTTTCTGTACAGACACCTGCTCCCAACCCCTTTGTACAGCCGAGAAGTCATATGGACAATATTAAGGTTAATAAATACTTAAATAATAATTAGTTACACTTTCTATTATCAATGTGACTCCCAAACTGGTTCAGTAGCGGACTTTTTTTAAGTTTGTAAAATTTGGTTGAAAACGTTTACGCATTTTTATTTGGAGCTGTAGCACTCCATTTGAAAAAGTTATTATGTAGCAAAACAATTGTGGCCTCTGGATAAATTGTAAAAATTTATACTTGCAAGTTATATTTATATATTAAGCTATGAATTTTCATCAAGTAAATGGCGATTATATCATATAATTAAATGTATAGATTACTTATCTGACGCTAATCATTTTGTTTTTTTAATCGTAGGTTCATGTTCCCATATGACTTAAGTTCAAGTATTGGGGGCGAGTTTTTTAAGAAAGCAGGCAAAAATTAAAGTGAATGTAATTTAATTCAATATGCAAAAAGTTATGTGCTCTACAGTAACTTGAAACAAGACGATAAAAAACGTGTTCTAAACTTAAACACTATCTCGTGCCCAAAATGAAAGTTCAAGTAGCGTTAGAAATTTCGTTTGTATCCAATCTTCTTTTCTTTTTTTTCTTGTATATTCTCATTGATCGCCTTGCAATTCATAACATTGAAAATTAAGATCGTCGTATAAATTGGCGCTGTTGATAAGTTCACTTTCCGCAATGTTTAAACCGAGTGTGTTTGGATTTAGATCGGTTATGAGGTAATCCCCGGTTAGTCCACATTCTTCGGCCACTTGTTCTTTCGAAACTGGAGGACAAAGAAAATCTAAAACGAAAAAATAGTTACCATTTTGCAGTATCCCAAACTTTTTTTTTTGAAGAAAGATCGATTAGTTATTTTCAAAATTCAAAGAGTTGTCTTCCTTTTTAGTATCTTTTTTGTTGCATTTGTGTACAGTATTCGATTTGTTGCAACTGAAACATGCCAGGCATGTCTAGTTACTTCTATTAGCAGCAAAGAAAATATGTCATAATTGGCCAATCACCTCATTTATTAATTATAAGACAATTATCAATTAAAAAACGTCAAAAGTAAATATTCCTTTAAATTTTACAAATAATTAAATGGCGTAATTTTTGCCTTAAAAAATTTACCGTTAGTTTAAATAATGTTATGTAATAATATTTATTTTTTAAATTGTGTTTAATAAGTTTTTAAGGCGCCTAAATTAAAACATACCTATTGAGCATACTTGGTAAGGACATAAAACAAAGAAGAAAGTATTCGTTAGTATTGAAAAGAAATTGTTAACAAATTATCTAC